CCGCAGCTGAGCGCTTAAGTAACTTCATTGCGTGATCGGGACGCGGAGAAATCGAATATGCAAAGAAAACGTTGGATCTAGTCAGGTTTCTCCTTAAATTTCCCTGACACCACCACCACCCACCCACCCCACCCCCCCCGCCAGCGGAAAATCCTGCTTCCATTTAACAGTCTTAACGATTTTCGCTTTATAAGGAATAAAATCCGATTTATTTGTTTTTTCGTTTACTTTAGGAAGCTTTCCGTGTTTTTCCGGCTTTATTCTTCTCCTCTTTCTTTCTTTTTCTTTCTCTCTTTTTCTTTCCCGCCTGGTGCTAGGCAAGCAATTGATGAAACAAAACAGATTATAAGATTAGCAGCAGGATTTTGTGCATATTAATGATAGGGAAGGGCACCGAATGGGTTTGTAATTGCAGATCTTGCGCTTGGGATTGGGAACTGTAGCCCTGCTACAGCAAAGACCCCCCTGTGAGGTTTTCACATTGGAACTTAGGGGAAAAGTGAAAAAGTAATTACCAGAGCACAACACTGAAATGTTAAAGCACTTATTCTTTCTTTCAGCGTTCTGTTTTAAAGGGGGAAAACGGGCAAAATGGAAAATAAATTACTTTCAAATAAGTAGGTTAGCACCTGAATGCTGGTGCGCATTTTCCTGTCTTTTTTTTTTTCTCTTTCTTTTTTTTTTTTTTCCAAATTCTAGCAATTATTTAGCAGGGCATTTGCTTCTGAACCTACCATCCAAGCAGCAGAAACGGGGGAAGGGAGAGCAGGGAGACCTCGGGAACACAGGGGCACTCCGCCTGTGAGTTTGAAGCAAATATTGCCAGGAAAGCTGTTCAAAGCTGCAGTTTGAAATTTAGAGGGATTTTTTTTGTTGGGTTCGTTTTGGGGTTTTTTTCTTTTCTTTTCTTTTGGTTTTGTTTTGAAATCGGGGCTTAAAAGGGAAAAGATTGTTTTGGTTTCCTCTTCGATGCAAGCATCAAACGGTATTTTAGCAAGGGATGCATTTCACAACCACAAATCCCTTCCAGGAACGGCATGTTCCCTGCAATATCGAGAAGTAACCTGACACTGAATTTTAACTCTTATTAAGAGTCCTTCCTTGTTTCTTGGGCTGCTTCGGTCCTCCTCCTCTGAGCTTACTCTCCCTAAAATCTGGATTTTTGCTTTTAAAACACAGTGCTCCTTTACTGACTTTCCTAATCCCTCTCTCCCGTGATTAACAGCAAAAGATGGCTTAGGTTTAATGGCACCTACTCGCGCGTATTGTTTTAATTCTGCTTTCAACGGAAAATAAATGTATCTGGTGGAAATTAGGCTTTGAAAACTTCTTTTTTATGAGCCAATAAAACAGAGTATCTGCTCCTCAGGCAGTAATTCCTGATTTCGAATTGGGGGGGAGGGGGGGGGAGAAAACCTAACTTTGACTGCCTTTCGTCCATCCCATGTCTCCAGCCCTCTCTTCTCCCACCTTCACCTCCCTCAGGTTCAGAGCATGGCAAAGCCCTGAGACAGGGCTATTTTTTAATGGCTATTTTTTAATGACTATTTTAAAGATGAAAATTGAGAGGAAGGGGTGGGAGAATAAAAGCCTGTGAGGGCAGAATATTATTTTCTATTTTTGCTGGTGCCCTGGAGCTTGGGAGCCACGCGCTCCCGGCGGGACGGGGCAGGGCTGCGGGCCTTTTTGGGGTGCTGGGATTTGCAGGAGCTGCTGTGCTGATGGGGGGGGGGTCATCGTCATCGTCATTGTCCCCAGGCTCAAGAAGCTGCCAGCAGCTCCCGGGGCGGTGGGAGGTGACCCCCACAGCACCCCACACCGCCATGGAAGCTGGATGATGGGTGGGTAGGTGGATGGATGGATGGATGGATGGATGGATGGATGAAGGCTGCCTCTGGCCCCATGGGGACCAGGCCAGCCCCGTGCCCTCCTGGGCTGCTGCCAGGAGCCCCGGACATGGTGGAGAAAGGGAAGAGGGGAAGGGGAAGGAGGAAAGAGGAAGGAGGAAGAGGTGCCTTAGTCACACCACCATCAGAACGGTCTCCTCCGGCAGCCCTGGTGCCCACAGCATCCCTTCAGCCAGGACCAGGGTGCCTGTGGAAAGGCCACCAGCAGAGAGGTACACACGCACCAGCCCAGCACCAGTGGTGCCTGCAAGGGCCAGTAAAGAAATCGGTGCCCTCCATCTCCTTTACCCCTTCCTTGCCCCTCACAGTCCTCACGGGGTCTCCTTGTCCCCTCAGTGCACCCCAGGCCTCCCTTCACCCCCCAGCAGTGGGTGTCCCTCACTGGGAACAGGAGGGGGGGGCTTTCCTCCCCACATCCAGGGGTGCAGGGAATTGGGATGCAGAGTGGAAAAGTCCCTGCATGTGCCCATACAGCAAACAGGGGAGAGATCAGGTACCCTCACTGCGTTTGGGGTTTTTGCTTCCCAAATTAAGTCTGAAGCTCCCCAAATCTGCGATAGCAAAGCCAATACCATAAAGTGCTGCTCAGAATGATGTCTTCAGAAACGCAAGAGGCCCGATTCCTAAAGCTGTTGTAGGTGCCCGCTGCCTGCTGGCATCATTTGAAGCTGATTAGCCTGGTGAGAATGAGGAGTGCTAAATGCCCATGCTACCTGGTTGGGCCTCTCTACTTTTAAGTGTGGCTCCACGTAGGTTTGGGTCTTATGCTTATAATTTTATTCTATTTCTGCTAGAGCTGCTAATGTTATTAAAGTTGTGATATGAAGCACACACATCAGTTAGGAGTTTTCCAAAGTGAAGCTTGCTGAAGGTAAAAACCTTGTCCCTGTGTGTCCCTGCAATAGCCTAGAATTTATGGGAGACACGTTCTTGCTGCTGGGAAGACCTGGTCTAGGCTTCCTGATAGCTGACTTCATTCCTGGCTTGCTTTTGCAGTAGTCCCTAATACATAGCAGTGTTTGTCCAGGTCTGGTATACTATGGGATGCCACTGGAAATGCTTCATGTTAATTCTGCATGTCCTGTCCTATGTCAAAATGCAGCTCAGATACAGTCAGTAGTGCATGTATCACTGCAAATATGACCATCGCTGCCAGCCCTGCCTCCAGTTTTGTTATCAAGAGGCCCGTGTGGTCAGATAATACAGAATTAAGTACTTGAATTGAGGGGGAAACGAGTGGCAGAGGATGTGCAAGGGCTGTCCGGTTACATCGCTGGTGTTGCTGTGCGACAGCGCGGGTGGAAGAACAAAATCACTTCCACCCTCTTCGATCATCAGAACTCGGGCTGTCAGTGAAGGGTTTGTGTTTCACTTTAAAGCGCTGAAAGAAGGTCCCCAGGTCCGTGGTGCTGGGTCAGAATGCAGGGAAGAGCTGTGGTGTCTCCCCACGAGATGCCTCAGGAGGAGCTCTCCTGGCAGAGGCTGCCCATCCCTGCCGTGCCTCGACCGCAGCACTCGTGTCTGTTCTCGCCAAAGCCTGCCCGTTCACCTCGATGCCATCGGGCACTTCCAGCTCCTCATC